TCGTTACGCTGGCTTTTTGATAAGGCGGTTATCTTTTCCAGAAAAAAGAAGTAAAATTGTAACAGAAAATTTAATCTACATTGGAGTTGATCTGGTAAACGCTCTCACATTGTATATGGAGATTTAAAAGTGCTTTAAAGTCATACTTTTATCGCTACCTCGCAAATCGAACAGCTACAATCTGTTGCTCCATATGAACTGCTTAGAAAAACAGATATGCTCGTTTTGTCAGCTTCGAAATTTGTATGATTTGTTTTGAATATAATGTTTTCGCGTATCACAAAAAATACGTAAAAGCATAGAACCAAATGTTCAGGAGCAGTTTTTGCCTTTCTCATGCTTTGCAAAATATCAATTTATGTTGTGTTGTCGGGTAAGCTCGCCCGTTTTTTCCAAACCCAATCAGTAGTGGTAGAACAGACCAACAATTGACACAGCTGCGCATTAGGTTATCTGAAGCTATCAAGTCTCTGAAGTAGACGGAGACATGAAAGGTTACGGGACTATAGATCTATACCGGTCCTCTTCTAGCGTCGGAAATCAGCTGTTGGAAGGTTACGACAGTAGACCACATTTTAGGCAAATCAGTGATTTTGCCCTCTGCAGCATAACTACTGTGGTGGAATAGATCTTTTCATAACAACATAACCAATCAGCCTGTTACCTATAAGATCTTGTTGAAGTACAAGGTAAAGTAATTAAGGGGAGTAGGTATGATTTTTGTAATCACCATATCAGCTAGCCCAAAGACAGCAGCTTCCATGCATATCTCGTTTCAAAAAATAATAAACCGTCGGTTAAGCTCCGCTTGGCTGTTTAAATCTTCAGTTTCAAGCACTTCTACTTTAGCCAAACCAAGATCAGTGGATATGCTAAGTGCATTATCTTTTCATGGGAGATTCTTCTTTCAATTAATATATGATATTTTTTGAAAACTTCTGATTTCATGGGCATTTTCTGAAAGCCTGAACAATGCGCCACTAACTCGACAACTTAACACAAATCATAGTGATGCGAAGTATTGCATCACGTGAAGAGAAAATTTGTCTCATTGTACCAACTTCTTGTCCCCTTTTACTTAAAGGCTTTATTTAGAGAT